TATTAGAAGGTGGTGGAGTCTTTAGAAGATGGGAGGAAGTTAGGTCATTGGGAGTGTGCCCTTGAAGGGGATATTAGGACCTCAGCCCCTCCTCTTCTCCCTCTTTGCTTCCCTGCCACCATGAGGGGAGCAGTTTTCTGTCATGTGTTCCCTCTATGATGTACTGCTTTGCCACAGGCCCCAAATCAAAAGGACCATGGACTGAACTCTCTGAAGCTGTGAGCCACAATAAACCTTTTCTCTTTATAAGCTTATTATCTTGGGTATTTGTCACAGTAGTGGAAAGCTACCACAGTATTCCATTGAATGGATACAACACATTTTTTCCTCCACTCACCGAGTAGCTATATGAATTGTTTCCCGTACTTGTCTGCAAGAATAATACTGCTATACGTATTTGCATACAGGTCTGAGTGGACCTATGTTTTCATCTCTTTGGAAAGATACCTAGGAGTGGAATTGTTGGGTTGATTTTAATTGGTCTAGGAGATACGGAATGGAATCTCACTCTGTTCTGGTTTGCATTTCCCTAATGTCTGCTTGTACTGAGCATCTTTTCCATACTTCTCTGTCATTCATACGTCTTTTTTGGTGAAGTGTCCTACATGAGTCACCTCTGGTGACTTGCTTAAAGGACTCATAGACTTCAGAACCATACCCATGGCAATGGTTCTTATATGGAGAGGACACAGCATGGGGATCTAGAGGTGTCCAGGAGCAGGCTTCCAAAGTCCTCCCTCCGGGGGGTGGACCACAGGACGTGCTCTTTCTCCAGCACTGAAATACACAACACGGCACATTGCTTCTGCCCAGGGACCCTACTTGAGACTCAAAGACCAGGGCTTCTTTTTGGGCTGGTGATGTAGTCCTCTCTGCCACATGGCCAGCCGTGGTTCCAGAAATTCCAAACTCCTAGAAGGCAGGTGGGCAATCAGCATAAATGGCATTGTTTGTATAGTTTAGGAAGGTGGTACAGCAGGCTCCAGTGCTCCAGGGAGACAAAACAGCCGTATCAGTTAGAAACAAGGCAGGATTCCAGAAATCACGTTCTCAGACACCAGACGAGTGTCAGCCCCATAGGGAGACTTTCTGAAAAGCACTATCAGGAGGCTGGCTTTCCCCTCTCCTGCATGTGTCTAGTCAACTCTTTGGATCATTTTTAATTGGACCGTGCATCTTGTAATTTGTTTCTAGAGTTCTTTACATATTATGAGACAATTTGTTTATTATATATACATTTTGCAAGTGTTGCCTCTTAGTCTGTGGCTTTTCTCCTTTCCTTTCCTCTACTCTCTGTTCCTCCCTTCCTTCCTTTTTTGGTTTGCTTTTTTGAGACAATATCTCACTGTGTAGCCCAGGCTGGTTTGGAACTTGCTATGTAGCCCAGGTTGACCTTGAATACACAATTCTCCTGCCTCACCCTCCCAAGTGCTGGCATTACAGGTATGAACCACCATGCCCAACCATCTTTTCACTTTCTTAATGGTGTTTTTCAGAAGGAATTTGAGCAGGGAAATATGACCAGAGTTGTGTGCCATGTGCGTGCGCGCGCACACACACACACACACACTCTCTCTCTCTCTCTTCTTATGTGGAGAATGAACTTTGGGGACCAGAAGTGGGCTGGGGAATCCCAGTGGAAGGTCACTGCAGTAGTCAAGGTGAGAGCTGATGGCGGTTCAGACTGGCAGGTGCCAGGAAGGGTGGAGGGAAGGGACTGTGTAGGAGGGATGTCCAGAGGATATATTAACAACCATGCAAGAATATTATGTGTTTCTAACACAAAAGGGAAAGGCGGGCTCTCCAAATTTGTCCACAGAGCGCAGTATTATTGTTTTTCAGAGTGAAGCTCGTTTATTCATGGGATTTTAGGGTTTGATAATTTGGAAATGTGGGAATAGCTAAACTTGAGAGTACCTTCCAGGTCCCACAGTCTATGGCACTGTAAACAATTCTTTTTGAAGTTCTTTTAACAAAACTAAACTATTCCAGATCTGTTATTATGATTGTTTATTAGTCACAATACATGTATCTATAATGGCAATTGTTAGTCTAAGAAAACTTCATGACTCAAATTGAACACAATCTATGCATAGAGACCTCTGCAGAAAGGAGGTGCAGAAACATCGCTAGCATATGAAGTGTGAGAGAAGGACAAGGGAATTCATATTCATGTATTAACCCAATTACTGAACGTACCTTGCAAATCCGGAGCACTGTGGGTTGAAAATGGGATTCACATCATTCTGTCCCCAGCGACACAGACAGTATTATAAATGAGAAATTCCTTCCCCAGGCAAGGCTGCACAGCCTTATTTAAGGCTAGAAATTCTATTTACCCAGGAGCCGAAACCACTGTTTTTCTGTTCTTGCAAAATAAACAAAATACCCTGGCAAACTAGATGCAAAGAAGGCCTGAGGGAAAGGGAAGGAAAGTGAAATCAGGTTTGCAGGTCATTGTCAATGCAATACATCAGGAGCATGGCAGTGATACATATTTTCTCTTCTGCTACTGAAAAAGGGAGGCTCCATGAATTGATGAGGCAAAGCAAGACTGCAGAAATTAAGATATGTGTGTATGTGTGTGTGTGTGTACACATATAAACATTTTTAATGAAGTAGGGTTTGTTGTGTTGCTTTATCCTAGAAAGAGACAGTGTTTTACCTGATCAGAGCTGCACGATACAGACCTGGACCAGGGGTACAAAGGCATCATCCCCAAGCCTGTTGGATCTGGTGCTCTGAGCCTGTGGAAAGGCTGGACAGGGACATGGTGGCATGCCTGGGAGCCTGCTTTTAGGTGTATGACATAATGGACACCTGATTAAGGAGGGGATGATGAATCTAGTTCATCACAGTGCTCATTTTGCCCTCTTCTGTCTCAGTTCTTCTTCCCAAAAGTCAGCTGCCACCACCCATCCCCACATCTAGAAACTCATCCTTCAGGTCTAAGATCTACTGTCACTTCTCCGCTATCTTCACTGTTACCAGGCAAATCCATTTTATGGTGTCTGAACCTTGCATAATTTCCAAGGCCCCCTTTCAAAAAAGGAATAAAATTATGAATTTAGAATCAGAAAAATTAGGTACCCTCATAATTAGGGCTTTGAAAAGGGCCTGGGTAAGTCAAGAGCTTAATCTCAGTAGCTTTGCCAAGAATCTGCTTCCTCTGGCTGTCTGCATAACTGTGTGTTTGCCTTCACAGCCATCATCCCCGTTTGTAATCACATTTAGTTTGATTCCTGTCCACTCTCCATTGGACTATAAGCTTCCTGAAGGTAGAGACTGGGTCTGCTCGCCAGTGTAGCCCCAGAACAAGCTAGAGCAATAATGCGGTTTGAGGAAATGAAGCCTGAAGTCCAACAACGGCAACAAAATTACTAGCTCCCTCTCAGTGAGCCACACTGGCCAGGACCTAGACATCAGTACCCAGGGTCCAGGCTGTAAAACACTAGGAGAGAGGCCACTGTGGGGACTTGGGGATGAAAATGAAGGGAGAGGAAAGCTAGGGGTGCTTGGGAGTCAGGGGTGTGGCTTCTACTTTTTACTGCCAACAGCACTGCGTCCCCTGAAATAAACACGACATCATGAGTCCTTTACAAAAGAACCCCTTTCTAGAGCAACTGCTTCTTGATTTCCCATGCTGGGAAACAGAGACCCCCTCTCCTCATACACAACCCTCTCGTGGTCATATCCATAAACCAGTGGGTGCTACCCAGGGTGATTATCAGGTGCCCTGGACAACCTCTGGCAATGTCTTGGCAGTTCTGTCGTTACTGGTAGGGGGTACTATTAGCATCCAGTGAACAGACACCAGAACTGCTGCACAGCATGCTAGGATCTACAAGATAGCACCACAGCAAAGAATCATCCAGCCCAGAACTGTCCATGTTGCTGAGACTAAGAAAGCCTGCCTTAACCATAGGCTCCCTTTCTGTCGTGTTTTCTGCACACTACCACTGTTCACAGGTATCCTTTATCTTCTGCACTCCATACAGAACAGTGGGACAATGTCGCTCAGAGGCTAAGGGGGAAGAGATTCACCAGAGTGTCATGTGATTTTGATCATAATGCAGTTTCTTAAAAAATGAAATGACTGTTTTAGGTCAGTGGATCTTCTTGGAAAGCTGACTCTGAGTCAGTAGGTCTGCAGTGAGGCCTCAGCCTGTCTCTAACCAGCTCCCATGTAAACACTGCTGGCCTGGCACTGCACTTCGAATAGCAAATTTCTATGCACCGTGGGGGAAAAAGGTCCCTTGCTCTTGGGGACTTCAGCTTGGCTAGAAGTGTGCTGGACCCAAAGAAGCCTGGGCAGGCTGAAGCCAGAGTACTCAGTCTTAGAAAACCAGAGCTGGAGGAGAGCTTAGGCGATGCGTAATCAACCCCCCATTATGGCGACAGACAAACCATGGGTCACAGTGGAGAAGGGAGCTAGTCAGTCTCACTACTTGCTGTGGCAGCTTTGGAACAAGGCTGTTGGATCCCTGTGTCCTGAGTAACCTCTTGGAGGGCAAAGCCCAATCAGGAGAGGAAGTTGGGGGGATGCGGGCGCACACAGATGGGTCCTGCTGCTCTGAATTTCCTACTTATCTGTTCCATGACACACATGTGAATACTGGGATTTTAGGAGAGGTATAAGATTCTTCCTGCCTGCCCCTTGGTTTTTCTGTACTACTAAGTGTGTAGCAAAGAGGAGCCAGAGTACAACTACTGAGGGGCAAATTCTGAGCGCTGTCATTTGGTCAGCACATATATGAGTAAACTCCAGAATAATTAGACCAATCAAAGCCTTTTCCTAACTTGGGGGTAGAATGACAAATCCTGAACATACCTGAGGTCCCTGTTCTTATCTTCTAGGGAACCCCAGAACAGAGTCATCCACTGAGGACTTTGAGTTAGAAAACCATTTGCGTGGGACAGCAAAGCAATTCCTCCCTTCACTTACTCCCAGTACCTGGGATACAAACTTTTAAATTCATGCCAGTTCTACTGGACCAGTAGCAAATTTCATGGAGGAGCTAAAAAGGAGTATAACAGCTGGCACATCAGGCATTAATAATATAACAAAGGCAGAAAAAAGAGGCACTTTTCATTAGTACTTTTTTGACGTCAATTTATTATTTATCCATTTGCCAATATTCAAACAGGCAAGTGGTCATAAAACATTCAAAAAGACCCTCTAACACAGTCAGGCATCTGTTTTAACTCAGTTCCCTTTAAGAAATCTGGAAATCAGGTTTCAAGGAAAAGTATTGCTTGATGATCTCTTCCTAGAGTTTGGTTTAGATTCTCTGAAAGGCCAGTAGGCAGGTAGATGATGGTTTGTAAGGTAGGATGCAAAGAGAATCAGAAAAGTGCTGTTTCCAAATTTTTGACTCCTCCCCGGGTATTATTCTATTTGAAACAAGAATGTTGGCAAGGCCTGCTGTTCAGTAATTAGCACCCTGTCAAACCCAACCAATCAAGACCAGTACATACTGCACCTGGTCTGAGTTCAAAAATGCATGTGGGCAATTCCAGTGGCCCTGAGAGATTCTTCCCCATCCTAAACCTGTCACATCGTTTTAGCTTCTTTGATAAATGTTTATCCTTGCCATGGAGACAGAAGAAACAAGACAAAAACCTTAAGAGCCCCCTCCCGAGGAGGGGCTGGGGAGGAGTAGCTGGTCAGTGAGTCCATCCTAGCTTGTCTTTCCTTTGCTCCTCTGGATGCTTCTGCCTTTCCAGGAACTGTCTTTGGTGTACAGGCTGTTGTCCTTGATGTAAGCGATGACAGCGTCAGGGAGCAGGTACTTCACGCTCTGCCCTTGGCCCAAGGCTCTCCTGATGTATGTGGCACTGATCTCATTCTGCACAGGCTCCCTGACCAGGTGAATGTTGTGCTGGTATTGCTGGAGGATGGGCGAGTCCAAGATGTACCCCTTTGGGTCGTGACCCGCCCGGCTCACGCACACCAAGCCAAACCTCTCCACTATTTCCTGGATGTGTGCGTCTTCCCAGAGGTTGGGGGTCTGGAAGGTCTTCAAGACATCTGCCCCACAGAGGAGTTTCAGCTCAAGTGCAGCTGCAAAAACAAGGGTGGGTCCCAAAAGTTACACAAGGGAGCCACTGCCAGGAAAGATCAAGTGACATTCTATGGGAAATCTCACAGAGGCTTTCCTTGGAAGGTGGGGAAAACTCAGTATCTCCTTGTTCATGGCTTAAAAGAGAAAGCGTGTCAGGGAATCTGAAGTGAGTTCACTGTATCCAGTTGTAAATAACGATTTAATGAACACAGCTTTTGTTTAATATTGGTGAAGTACCAAGTTATACAAAAGATTTTTTTTTTTTAGTGCTACAATTGAAGTCTGTACTGGGGACCATAGCACAGAGCTCCAGAGGTGGCCATGCTGTCTCTAGAAGCCCATTTTCTGAAGGACGATTTCTAAAGACCTAAGACCAATAAACTGTGAGCCTGGGACAGGTCGCTGCCCTATTTGACATCCATTTCAGTCCCAGTGTTATTAAGAGCTTTTATATAAAATGTCATCATACAGATTAAGCATAGAGGCTCTGTGGATAGCCAAAAGGTTTCTAAAAGCCAGCTGGTGGCCTTTTCACTTTACTTTCCAGCACAGCAAAGCTCTAGAACAACTGGTCAACGTGGATAGTCCTTTGGAATTTATTCCAACAGAACACTGAATGCAATGATAAAAAAGAAATCCTAATGTTTATTAGGAGCTCAGTATGGCACTGCCACTAAGTGCTTCAAGTGTATAATACCATATGGTCCTCAGAATAAGTTTATGAGGTAAGTATTGTTGTGCCTGCTTTGCAGAGGGGGAAACTGAGGCCCAGAGAAGCAAGAGAAAGCGGAGGTTCTCAGCTAGTCAGAGAAGCCTCCAGGTGGGGCATCTGTAACTGGTAGGTTCTGGCGCCGCCTGCTGGTGGGAATCTGTACATACATCACAATCGGAACCCTGGCGCCCAAGGGGCCAGTGGACTAATCTGAAAAGGAAAAGCCAAGTCCATGTGGCAAGCATGCTGTAGGACCCCTAGTCCTTCTGGAAGCTGATTCCAGCTTCAGTAGGTGGCAAAGCCATCGTTATCACCACGAGTTACCACCCACTGGCAAAGAACTTGGTGTGAACAGTTGGGTTAGGTTCCTGTGTTGGGTCCTTTGAAGGACTCTGGATGTGGGCAGAGGTAGGTTTACAAAGGAACACCGGGATGGGTACAGAATGGAACGTGGGACACTGGCAGTGTCACGGAGAGGTCTGGGGTCTCCCCTCATTGGGCACATGCTGGGCTGGGCTGGAGCCAAGACTCTTCTTCTCTGTGCCTCAGCTTCCCCATCCACAAGATAATATAAACTGGACTTATTCAAAGCCACAGATCAGATGTGATTGTGGAAGCACACTTCTCAAACACTGTAGCAACATAATGGTGGTCTAGTAAATGATACTGGACTTCCCTTCACTCATGCATGCTGGACTCTTGGTGATTTCAAACTAGGACTCTAGAGCCAGGTGTCTTGGATTCAAATTCTGGCTCTGCTATTCAGTAACTCATGTGACTTTAAAATGAGGTTGCTAATGGTGCTTACCTTACAAGGGTCTTTTAGAACTGAGTGAGTTTATAAATGTAATTAAAATACTTAGAACAGTAGTTGCCACAGAGTCAGGGCTATATGTTTTAACTGCTTTTCATACATTCATTCATTCATTCACCCGCTTATCTAGCAAAACATTCATCAAAATGTCCACTCAACATTTATGAATTATGTGCTAAATGTATGGTCTTTTTAAACCAACAAAGATGCACTTATAAATTAATTCAGCAACTCACATTTTTTTTTGGCCAGTCTCCTTGCCTACAATATATATGTAGATTTGTATTGTGCTACAACTGTGAGGTTTTTCTCTAATTTCTTATTTATCCAACCACTGTAGTTTGGCAAGAGACCAGTGTTTGGCTTTTCAAACCATGGGTGGTTTCTATGTGGTCTTCCTACGGGAGGGGGGTTGAATGAAGCACATTTAATTTCAGGGTCTCCTGGAGCACATACCCTCTGTTCCCACAGGTCAGAGAACCTCTTCTTCTCTAAGTGGGTTTTGTTGGGACAGTTTCCACATATTAGCTACAATATTAGGTACTGTTTGATTCCTTAACAATGCAACTAAGGAATACTAATCACTCTGAGCTTTTCCTAGAGAGGACAAGTGCCTGAATGTCCCCAGTCCCCTATATCTAAGGAACATTTGTGAGGCTGTCACAATACCATGCAATGGATCAACTCTCAGGACCATGTGTGCCCCAGACCCTAACTCCGGACTTTCCTGTCTCAGGTCTCCCAAAGGTATTCACACAGTCCTTTCAAACCTATTCACCCAATGCTACTGAATTTCCAGATTGAGCAAGTCTGCCCAAGTCCAAAACAGATAACTCCAGGGAGCAATGTAAAGGCTGCCAATGTGATCTGTCCAACAGTGGTACAGTGACAGAAATGGGGTATTTGTGGGCATTTTAGGGTAGGGTCTCTGTCTTTGAATAGTTCTGGCCTTTGAAAACAGATGAAGCCAAAATTTACAGAGACCATGGGGACCTTTAACTCTGGCTGCTGGGTTGCCCTAAGTTGATAACATTAAAGAGCCTTGGGTATGAATTTTGTATCTGCTGGGACCACAGGAAAGTCACCTTGCCTATGGATGTGTCTCCTCAGCTGTAAAGTAGGGACAGCTGACACTGGGACCTCCTATGGAGCTTATGGACACTGAGAGATGGAGAGATGCAATGTCAATTTTCTACCTGGGACAGCGTAGGAAACAGCTGTCACAGCACACCACAAACACACTCAGAAGTGAGGGGTGCCAGGGTCTACACAGGAAGACACCAGAGATGGCCAGGAATGGGCTTATGGTGTACGATGGGAAGTGCCCAACTAACCATCCGGTGTAAAGTGAACACAGATCGAACGTCTCTTTGTCAGGGAATCCTCTGAGCATTGCTGAGCTGTGCTGAGTCCCATAGGTCAAGGGCAGGGGTGGCCCTCACAAAAGCCAGACAGTTGAGCAGTTGAAGGTTAGAAGCATCATCGATTCTAAAGTATAACACCCAAGTGGCCCCAGAAACCAACAATGCCACGACTTGGGTGAATCTAGGGGGGATGGCAAATCACAGAAGTGAGGGGCCAAGCCAGGTTCTGCAGCCCAAAGTGCTGAGATCAGCAGTCCCGGGGTGTAAAATTACACAAGAAAAGAGCCAGCAACAAAATGTTCCTTAGAAATCCATCACTGGTAACATACTTGCCATCTCATCCAAAGCCAAACTTAGACTGAGAAAAACTCCATTTTACTTTTTTAAATTGCTCTAGTTTTTTTCTGATTACAAACATGAAACACATGTTTCTTATGGAACATATGGTAGCCATGTGCTTCAGGCAGAAAATAACAACAGCAACAATTAGAATAATTCTGGTTTCTAAAAAACCATCAACATTTTGGCATATTTTTCTTAGACTTTCTATTGATTTAGACATGCAAACAAATGTCAAATATGTTCTTTTTTATATACCTGAGGTAATAGATACTGTGTCATATCCTGATTCCCCCCCACTTTCTTCATAAGCAGTTCTCCATATCATCAAAACCTTTATGTAGACTCTTCATCTTATGTATACGGTATGATTTACTTGCACATTCCTTTATAATTAAAGGAATTAAGGTTGCTTTTATTTTCCGTCATTGTAAAAAAACTTTTGTGATAAACATCTTTGCATAAATCTGTGTCCAAAGTTCTGTTTCCTCAGCTAGACTCCTAGAAGGGGAGTTTGTCAAGCAAGTGGTATAAGGATTTTTTTTTCTTGTAAATGGAAAAGCCCACTTCCATGTAAACTTTTGCACAGTTTCTTTAGAAGAGAACAAGATGAGTAGGGTTTAGGATTTAAATAGGCTGTGACAGTACAAATACTGTTGGGTTGATTAGAGTTGGGAGCTCCTAGAAAAGTGAAAGTGGAAGGAATGGGGGAGGGGGTCTTTGGCAGAGGGCGAAAGCCCATAGATAGGACAGCAGCTGGGCCTGGCTTCACAGGGAAGGTGGGCTCTAAATGGAGTCTCACAGGGCAGCAGCGTTTTTTAACAGGTGAGACAAGAAGGAACAGGCCAGCAAAACAGGCAAGTCAGCCTAGCACCACCCCCTTCACAATGGCTGCTTCCTGCCTCTCCCTGGAGGCCCTGGCTTTCCCCACATGACTTTGTTTCCTGTCTTTGCGCCCTAGCCTGCTCTTCTGTATCTTAGGAGTCTGGGTGTGGCTGCCTCTGCCTCCAGGTTCACCCCATTCACAGATCATCTGCAGCCTGGAGCAGGGCTGGGGTTGCCTGGGGTTGCTCTCAGCCTAAGCCTGGAGCCTGGCCAGGAAAGTGCCCAGGGAGTGTATATAGGATGGGTTAGAAGAGGCAGCAGCTGACTGATGGCTGGGGCTGGAAGGGAAGGAGCCCATACGGGTAAAGAGGAGAAGCAGGCAGGGGACAGATGAATTCATTTAATGCTATGTATAGAAGGGGATTATACAGAAGGCACTATAAGTCCTTCTTAGATTCTTACTCCAGTGCACAGTCCCCCAAACTGGCTGTAAAACAAATCCCAAGTACTTACTAAACATCCAGACTCCTCAATCCCACTTCCCCTCAGCAGGACTGGGGACTGGCCTGGGTATTAAGTGTGTTTAACCAGCCCCACAGTTAATTCTGCGGTATGTGACCCTTCGGCCAGCATCAGGGACTAAAGGGCGCCTTTTGGGCCTGGTGGCATTTCCACCAGGTAGAAGAGTGTTTTCATTGTGCTCTGGGAGTACTAGTTCTAAGAAATACTAGTAGGCATATATATAAAAGAATTCCATGGCTAAAAGGTGACAGGAGTGGCTCTTTGCTTCCCCTCCTTTTTTTTTCTGAGTCATAACGCACGGACACATGAAGGTTCTGAAAAGTCCTACAGGAAAGACACCATTTTAGGTGTATTTATCCTTGGCAGCCCATCCTGACCCTTCTGATCTGAAAGTAGTGTCTTAACCAGTGAAAGACACCTGCGGAGAGCTCTGCAGGTGGTCTGCTGGAATTCTGACCCCTTGGGGCTGTGATTTCCTGCTCACAGCATGTCCTACTCTCCCCACATAATGCCCTGCTTATTTTATTGGCCCATGCCTTTGGCTGTGGACACCTGGGCTACTTATACCCTGGCATCACAGGCAACAAGCCTCCACGTGACACCAGGAGATGACAATAGTTAGCAATCTGGGGTGGCAAATTAAGAAGACAATCCAAATTGGCTTCCCTTAAAAACATATTTCCTTTTGAGAGAAACCATTGAGAAACTGCTAGAAGTGTTAGTCTTGCTATCCAGGCTTTATCAGGGCAAATTTTGAATTCAAAATGGCTAAAGGTGTTAAAAGAACCCCAGCACCACTCACCAGTTTATCCCTGAGTGGCCCTGCCTGTAATCCATGTCACACGCACAAGTCACAGGGTAGGTAAATTCCTTTGGGCAGCAAATCCCAAATTAGCACAACAATTTATGAGATCAGGTAGTCTAATCTGACCTTTGATCTTGGAAGAGTCACCCCCAACCCAAAGGGCCTCAAGTTCCTTGTCTGTACCCAAAGAGTTGGGCTTAAGCCCTCTGCAGTCGTGACCCCGTAGTGCTCACAAGAACCCGACATATCCCCCCTCCCCACCTTTGCAGATGAGAGGTCAGCACCCACCTGCAGGGACTGACAGTGCCTGGCCCCGGTCTGTACCTTCCACTGGGAGTGGAGATCTGAGCAGTTCGCTGTGATGGTGCCTGTGGTGTAAACACATGGGCTCAGGTGTGTCATCCTCAAGCCCCATAGCCACCCCGGGGTTCTCAGAACTTAAGTCACAACCTGTTTCTATGCATGGTAATTCACTCATTCCACAAATATCTGTCAAGAGCCTACTATGTACCAGGTGATGGGACCAGAGGCAGTCACCTCTGGGTCCTTATGGAGAGTCCTATACAAGACAGTTTGCAATCTTCTGTGTGATTTGGGTGAAAGTGGGGAAGTTAGCCTCATTCTTTTGTACTTTCTCCAGTATTTCTACTTTAAGAACACAGGGGTCAGTATCGAGTAGGGATTAAGGACAGGTTATTGGAAACAGACAGATCCAAGTTCAATACATGTATTTTCATTTGGAAAGCAGAGATGGTCACATCTGTATATAGGATTTTGAGACGGTAAATGAGCTAGCTATACACATTAAGCACTGACACAGTATGGCCAAAACCTAGCTTTCAATAAAGATGCTTGTTATAAATTACTTTAAAAATGCAATAAGGTGGTGGCTGAGAGCCAGGACTTGGAGTCAGATAGCCTGGATTGAATCCTAGCTTCCCCACTGGCTATCTGTGTGACCCTGGGTGAATGATTTCTGGTCCGTGTGGACGGTTCTACATCTGCAAATAGAGTCTGATGTTGGCACCCACCCCTGCTGGGTGGCTATGAAGATGAAGGAAGTTAATTCACGAAAGGTGCACTGAACATTTCAGATACAATTAGACTTACACCAACTTGGCCTGCTCAGCATTTTAAGCAATCTATCTTCCTCACATCAGGAGATGCCTACACCTTCTTTTCTTATCAAACACCATTTCCTGTATCAATCTGGCCTCCTGTCTTCCACTGCCTGTGTGATGCATTCACTACGAATGTGTCTGGTAGAACAAGCAGGTGTTTTGTGGCCAGAGTGCGTGGGTTCAAGTCCAGGCTATCCTGCTTGTATGACCCTGGGTTAGTCACTGAGACTCTCATAGCCCCACTGACCTCAACTGTTAACTGCGGAAGTTAACGCCATCCTTATCTACAGCGGGTATCACAGGACCATGAGTGACAGAGAGCTTCTACTCTGAAAATTACCTGAGGGCAGCCTGGTGCTGATTATTACTGGGATACATGCAGACAGAAAGTGCTCAGTAAATGTTAGCTGCTATTATAATCATTGCTCTCAGCCTGTATTCCTGCCAGATTGTGAACAGGGGCCCCCTTTCATTCACTGTCACATTCAGTGAGGGCCCATCTACAAAAGGGGAAAATAAATCTTTTCTGGGGAGGGGGTGCCAGTGGGAGGGGGGCAGGCACAAGGAAAGGGGAAATGAGGGTGTATACGGTGAATGTGTTTTGAATCCATATATGAAAATAGAAGAATGAAACCTGTTGAAATTGTTCTAAGAAAGTGGGAGCGGGGGAAGAGGGAGAATGATGGAGGGGGTAAAATCCAACTAAGATATACTGTAAACATATATGTAAATATCACAATGTATCCTCCTATACAACTATTATATGCTAACAAAATCATTAAAGAAGAAAATGCCCACCTAAAGTCTGCTGAATTCAGGACAGATGGAAGGAGTGAATGAATTAATACATCCAACCCTGGGCCAAAGCCCTTCTCATGAGTTCAGAGATTCAGCTGCATTTTCTCTGGGCCTGGCCGGGCTGTTTCCATACTTTTCTACTACTTGGTTTTGGTAAGCTTCCTCTCTGAGGGCTCCCTCCTGTGTTGGTCTGGGTTCTCTCATCAGACTGAGGTGGGCATGAGTCTCACCCGTACCTTCTAACTGTAGGAGTTTCAGAATAATTACTTTCAGATCTTCCATTGTTTCATCTAAACCCACCTACCTCCCACAGTTGCTGATCTGACTACATATAATATATGTGAAAGAGCCTGGCACATCTAGTCAGGGATGAATTAAAGCTGGTGATTGTTATGTTATTTTATTTACCTTGAAGCTTCTAGTTCAAGTTGACCCTGCTTTGGATATAAGCAGGATCTTTGAATTTTGTTGTACAAATGACTACTTTTAGTACCAAGCACATTTTCCTCACAACTTCCTCAGTCTCTTGGGGAAGTAGCCATGTTTTTTCTTGCTGCCTGCCTAAGTGATACCCTGATGTGAACTGACTCTGGGGACATGTACTCTGTGTCCTTGGAGGCCACTGGTCTCTAGGAAAGCCATTCTGGAGGGTAACTGTGGCCAGAGCAAAGTCAACCATCAACCATCTCACATCCCCAAAGTCAGGAGATCACTGTTTTGGAAAATAGCCATGGCATGACTTCAGAGCTGAGCAGGCTGGAGCTCCACCTCTTATTTATTTGTTGTGGGACTGTGATTAACTTAGTCTCTTTGAGCATCAGTTTTTTTATCTATAAAATAAGAATGGCATGAGATTATGTCAGCAATGAGTCCACGAGATGATGACGACGATGATAATGATGATGGATGATGGATCAAGTGGAATGGTATTGTGACTAAGGCCTTCTTCCCCACAACATGGGGAAAAATGAGTAAGTTATTCTTATGCAAGGGATATGAAGTGTCTCCCCAAAAGGCTTGTGTGTTGAAGTGTTGGTCCCCAGATGGTGGATATAATCATTCAGACATGATGAGGTCATGAGCACTCTTCCGTAATCAATGGATTAATCCACTGATGGGCTCATAATTTCCTGGCAGTATTGGTAGGTGATGGAAACTTCAGAGGTGGAGCCTGGCTGGAGGAGGTAGGTGACTGGGAGCATGTCCTTGGGTACTGTATCTTGTCTCAGGCCCCTCTCTGTCTCTCTCTCTGATGCCATGCTGCTATGAGATGAGTAACTTGTTTCCACCATGATGCTTTGCCTCACCATAGTCCACAACAAGGGAGCCAGCTAACTTGAAACCATGAGACAAAATAAATCTTTCCTTTCAAATTGTTTCTCTCAGGTATTTGTCACAGTGAGAAAAAAAAACTGACATAGCTATCAAAGCCCTAATGACACAAAAGGTAGTCTAGACTTTGGAAAGCATAAAACTAAACCACTTCATAAGGAGAAAAATAATCCTCAATAAACCTCACAGTGAATTTACGTTACAGTGACATTTGTTGCTATGTCACTATCATGGAAATTCATTGTTGATTCTATCAAGAATACCAAGTGGGGCAACTTATGGGCTGATTTCTATCGTGCTTCTAAAACCACTTTATAATTTTAGCCAGTTTTTCAAACTTTAAAAAATCTTAATAAAAAAATCTTAATCAGCTGCCTGTTGAAACCATGTTGACTGTACCACTGATTCTCAAACCATGGCAGGACAACATAAATTACTAGGACCATTAAAACAAAACAAAAAATGCCCATGCTTAGAGTCCACCCCAGCAAACCAGTCTCTAAGTTTTCCCAGTGATTCCTGAAGCAGGGTTTGGACCACTGCTTTGAGTAGATCTCATTATTGATCATAAGCCAGACTCACATGCTCAGTGACACACTGTGGGGATCAGCTCTAGACACAGGTTAGAATCACCAGGGAGCTCTTAAAAATTCTGACATCCTACCCTGGACCAATGGGTGAGACCCAGGCATCTGTACTTTTAAAAGCTCCCTAGGAGGTTCCAATGTGTGGCCTGTATTGAGGAGTTCTAAACAATATAGTAACAAATAAATAAGAAAGTGGGAAAGAAAGAAGGGAGAAAGGAATGAAGGAAGGAAGGAAGAAAAATGTGTTCAGTAAAATCTCTGCTCACCTCTCCCTGCATTCTGCAGCAGAGTCACCAGTGACATTTAATTACTCTGGGCAATACCTATGTGTCCATGAATGACTTATTGGTTTTGAGGACCAATCACAGGCCAGCATTAAGGATGCCAGTTAGGGTAGCTAACGTTATTTAGCATTTCCATGCCAGGTAGGTCATTTCATTTAGTCCACACAGTATCCTGTGGTGAATTAGGTGATGCCATTTCCATTTTATTAGGTGAAGAACTGAGGCTCAGGGAGGCCAATGACATTGGTCATTGGCTCCAAAACCTGTGTCCTAGGGAAGCTTGCTTGTCCTAGGGTTAGGGAGAAAGCCCCTGTTCCTGACTACTTATTAAAACTAAATGACTTGTTGGGATATCTGTTGTCTTCCTTCTATTTGCCTTAATTAGGCTAGTTAAGGAGAGATGACTGTGCTCATTCTAAACAGATGATCTTGGTGTAAGTTATTCCTCATGCAGTTTTCAACAGGTGAGTCTGGGCTTGTGTCAACATTGGGGCAGATAAATGAGGAGGGAGCACATATCCCAATAACTTTGTCATAGTCTCCCTTTAGTTGGCAACAGGTTCTGAAGCAGCACTGTACCTGCTGAATGCTTTTAGCTGTCCTTTCTCTAGAAGAAGGTAAAGTAATAAGAGCCAGAGGACATGCAAGGCTGGCTGGCAGAGTGGCTCAAGTGATAGAACATCTGCCTAGCAAATGCAAGGCCCCGAATTCAAACCCCAGTATAGCCAAAAACAAGAACTAGGACATGCAGTCTCAATGTTCACCTTTACTAAAAGCATAAACATTAGCTGGCTGGTGGTTCATGTAACTCTAGTTACTTGGGAGGCCGAGACGAGGAGGATCACAGTTCCAGGTCAGCCTGGGCAAAAAATTAGCAAGACCCCATCTCAACCACTAACTGATTGCAGTGGTGTGTGCCTGTCATTTCAAGCTATGTGGGAGGCTGAAATCAAGAGGCCTGCAGTTCCTGGCCAGTCTGGACAAAACAAACAAACAAACAAACAAAAAACCCCCAACGTTGTGATATCCCATCTCAACAGAAAAAAGCTGGGTGTGGTGGTGTATGCTTGTCATCTCAGGGATGGCAGGAAGCCTAAAAATGGGAGGACTGAGGTCCAAGATAGCCTGGGCAAACAGCGAGACCCCAGCTCCAAAATGACCCGAGAATAAAAGCTGGAGGTGTGGCTCAAGCAGTAGGGCTCCTGCCTCACAGCACTGAAGCCCTGAGTTCAAACTCCAATACCCCTAATGAAACAAACAAAAAAACTCAAACTTTTTTTCCTAGCACCTTACAAAGTAAGTGAAAAATGAAGATCAGGACACACAATGAACAGGCCTTGTCCTGTGTTCCCCTATTGCCTGACAACCCTAGTCTCCAAATAAAAGACACAGTCCAGGAATTGTGACCCCGTTCCTGCAGAGCTCGTCACTGGTGATGGGGCAGGTCTACCTCACACTCCTCTCTGACAGTCAGGACAGTGGGACTCCCTGCTTATGGGTACAATTCAGTAACCATTGTCCTAATGTGCAGGTCTGGCCCGGGGCTTTCAAACGCTTGTGATGATCCTGCTGAACCTAATAGGAATTTCAGAGGATTTAAAAAAAATCCCCAAGTAACTATTTCTAGATTTATAGTATTTTTTTCTATTTTACATAAAAGTCTGGATTTAGAGAAGCCAGGATTTGTGCAAATAGAAAAGATGGCTTATTATGTAGATTCAGTTTGCAACCTAGTCAATAATGAAACTAATAAAAGATTCCACTTACTGAATGTTATTAGGTGGTGGTTGTAGGTCAGGAAAGTTCTTTGCATCAAGAAATCCTCATTAGGTTTTATTGTCCTTATTTTGCAAGTGAGAAATGAGTCTCAGCCAGGCTAAGTCACCTGCTCAAAGTCACACAGCTGCAAAGTGAGGGAAGGGGGTTAGGACGCTACAGCTCCTGAACCAAGACGGAGAGGGGGTTCCCACAGTGCTTCCTGAAGGATGGTGGCTGTAATTTATTTTTTGCTTGGGGACCTGTCTGAAAAGGTGAATCTGTTGGCTCCTGTCCCCCAGAATAGAGATCTAGAAGAGGTCCTGGCTGAGAGGGTCTGGCTGAAGCATCTGTCCCTTCCTTTCACCCTGCACACGTCATCCTTGGCAGCATGACCACAGTCACCTGAGCACCTTCACTGTCTCCATCCACTGTGCCTGCTCACTCTCCCAGGGGTCCACACGGATCCAGTCAGACGTCTGCAGGGCCAGCCGGGCCATGGCCACTCGGTGATGGGAAGCCACCAGGTCTTTCTTCCCATACTTGTCATTGACAGGTGAGATGATGCCCTGGATCACCTGGTACATGCCTAGGCAGGGGAGAGCAGAGATGCTGTAGTTACAGATGGATGTGTGCCATCTGGCAGCAAGAATTCATGCAGGCACTAAAAATCTCTGCCTCTTCTAAGTGGGAGCAGACCCTGCCATTCTCTCTGGGTGGGTCAAGGACCAGGGACAAAATCACTGCCTCTGTGACGCCAGTCTTCTACAACCCAGGACAGCACTTCTACCGAGAGGAAGACTGGAGGTTACAGCCCAGCCAATGGGCATTACAGCAATGTGGATAGGTAGGGTTTGAATATGTTTGAGGAACACCATGAGGTCCCCGTGTGGGATGACAAATAGTGAAAACAGGAAGTTATTATTATTTGCAGTTTTGGGGATTGAACCCAGGGCCTTGCCCATGTTAGGCAAGAGCTCTACCACTTGAGCCATACCCCCAAGCCCTTTTGTTTTTTAATCTTCTTTGAGATAGCATCTCCTTATTTATGCTTGGATTGGCCTTGAACTCTTGATCCTCTTGGCTCTGCTGTGATTATAGACATGCCTCACCATGCCCTGCTCCAAATGAGCTTGTGAGGCTGAAGATGAAGGGTGGGGTTTAGCATGTCCAGGTTTGATGGGTAAGGGGACGTGACTGACACCCAGCCCCACTGTGACTTTGGAGGGATGTGCTGCCAATGGGAGTAAGCCTTCCTTGGAACAGACTAGCTAGTTGGTAAACTTCCATATGGATCCTGTGAACCTACAAGGGATTTGTCTGACCAGAGAAAAAATGATGTGTTAAGTCCCCAAACCAGGGTAATTGTCACACCAGGCCTGGTAGAGCCTCATGACACTACTTTAAGAGCCATTTCCTACTACTTCTAGTTGAAGGGCATCTGTCATACCTGAATATTGAAATTTATTGAATGCTTTTTTCTGCAACTCTTGAAATGACTGTGCAATTTTTCTCCTTTGGTCAGCTAATGTAGTGGATTGTGTTGATTAATTTTCTGATCTTAAAGTAACATTGCATTCCTGAGATAAACCCAACCAGGTGAAGATCTCTTTTTTGTGTATTGATGGGTCCACTCTGCTAGTTATTTTTAGGAAGGAAGATAGGTCTCTAACTCTCCTCTCTCTTACTGCCCTAACCAGGATTGGGTATGGAGCTCCCCAGCATCCTCATCGAGTGTGCTGGGGAGCTCCCTGTTCCCCTGTACTCCAAGAGGGCAGCATGGGGATGAGCTGCCGTTCTGAAACGTTCAGCAGAACTCACCAGTGAGGTCTTATGAAGCTAAAGTTCTGGTGACTTATTTTTGTCCATTTCATCTAAACTTTGAAATTTACTGTCCTAAGGTTCTTCCCAATGCCCTCTCATTGGCTTAATGTCTGTACCACCTGTAGTCAGAAGTTTTTTCATTCTTTGATGGGTGTGTCTCTCTTTTGTGCAGTATTGCTAAGATTTGTTATTTTCAAAGAACCAACTTCTGGCATATAGATTTTCTCTACTGACTGTTTGTTTTCTGTTTCACTGGTTGCTATTCTTATTTTATTTTATTTTTTTGGTCCTAGGGTTTGAACTCAGGACCTTCCACTTGCTAGGGAGGTGTTCTACTACTTGAGCCACACACCTAGCCTATTCTTAATTTTATTAATTCTACCCTTCTACTATCTTGGTGTTATTTTGCTGCTCTTTCTCTAACTTCTTGTGATGTCTGCTCAGTTAATTAATTTGAAATTTTTGATTTGTCTTATTTCCTAAATTGTACCACATAGGCTGTAATTTCCCTCTGAGCACGTTAACTTATACCTTATACATTTTGATATGTAGTATTCTCATGATTTTTTTCTAATTTCCATTATGATGTCTGTTTTGATCTATGAGTTACTTAGAAGCATTTTTTCTTAGTTACCAAACACATTGTGATTTGGGGTTATATTTTTGTCATTCATGTCTCGCTTACCGCCACTATGGTCAGAGAACACACTCTAAATTGATTTAATCTCTTGAAATGTGTTGGTTCTTGTTTTTTATGGTCAGTTTTGATGAATGCTCTGTGTGCTGAAACAGAATGTGTACTCTGGGGCCCTTCCGTGTACTGTTCTATTTGGTCAGCATTACTGATTGTTAGCTTGCTGGTGGGTACAGTGGTTCATGCCTTTAATTCCAACTACTTGGGAGAAGGAAACTGGGAGGACTGAAGTTTGGGACCACCCTGGGCTATATAATGAGACTGTCTCAAACCAAGAAAAGAAACATAGAATGTGTGACAAAAAGAAAACACAATATAAGATGGTATCTTTAGACTCAAATACCTCAACGTTCACATTTAGTGTACGTAAATACGATGTTTCAATTAAAAGTCAAAAATTGCCAAGGTTGACAAAAGAAAATGTTTTAGTGGACCATTTACAAGATCCTGCCAAAACAGAGGTACAGAAAGTATGGTGGTAAAATATACCACATGTATTTTCAATCAAATGAAATTGTTCAGGCTATATTATCCAACACATATACTTTAATTTTTTTAAACACAATTTTATGCATTTGAAAGTGGTTTGGGGTCTAACTATTGCACATGGGAATACTAACTCTATTAAGTTCATTATTTTGAACAGATGAGAAATCTGATTTTGTTTATGAATGAGAAACACAACTGGACTGATCACCATCATTTTTATGGTTTTGAAAGTAAATTTGTTTGACCCAGTTTTCTTAGATTTTCCTTCAGCTATCTGTAGGAATGACAAGGATTTGAGAATGACATCAGATCTGTATGTTTGAAGCAGGGAAGTTAGCACAAATTTGTAAGTAGGACTTGTGTTAGCTTATGCATAGACATCAGGCAACAGTGTGTGCATGTATGCATGTGTATCACACGCACATATAGTTACAGGGCTCAATGGTTACCAGAATTAGCAGCAAGTACCTGAGAGAGAATATGACATCAGAAAATGAGTATCAGAATTTATGGTCACCTCATCTCCCTTATTTATAGCTGGCTTCTGTTTCTTACTCTGGATTTTATTACTTCATTTTTTCCCCTCTTTAAGCCTGCAAGTTATATACACAGTTTCATAGCCAAAGTAAATCAAGGCCTTCACCCCTTTCCTTAATAACATAAGGACTTCAAAACTCTCACTCCACTTACCTCGTCTTACGTGTCACTGTTGCTGGTACTCTGTCCACCTTCTTCTCTCTCTACCACACCTCATCATTCTGTTCTACCCAAACATGTTCACTTAGACTTTAGCAAATATTTGTCATTGTTTGTCTTTCTATACTTTCTGACAAAATACATCCTGTAAGATTTCCTTAAGTTAGTCATTTCATCCTTGAAAGACATTCAAACTGTTACTCTCAGTCTTGAAAGATATTTTTACTGCAGGAAGTAATTGGTTGCAATCATTTTTCTGCAATCCTCTCAAGTTATTTTTGCAAGTATTATATTATTGGGTCTCAGAAACTCTCTGTAAGTAACTGCCATTCCCGTGAAGGCAATCTGTGTTTTTTCTTGTTGCTCTAGACACTGTCCTTGTCAACATATAGATTCCTTTTTATTTATCCTGCCTTGGGATCACCGGGTTCATTAAATCTATGACTTTCATTAGATTAGGAACATTCTTAGTGATTATTTGTGCAGAAATTGCCTCTGCCCTTTTCTTCCATCTCTCTCATTTCATGCATGAAGCTTCTGCATCTCTTACCTTCTTTTCTGGGATGTATAGGAATCTCTTTCTCTTTGCTCCATTCTGAATAATTTTATTTGATCTATATTCTAATTCAGTAAGTCTGTACTTCTGCTCTATCGATCTGACTCAAAATCATTTGTTCAACTTTTGAGTTTTCCAATCCATGAACATGGTATATCTCTCCATTAACATTCAGGACATAAATTCTATACATGTTTTGTTAGATTTATACCCAACTGTTTTCCTTTAGATCAATTTTAAATGATACTATGTTTTAAATTTCGGTTATATATATATATATATAAAAATTTGTGCTTACATGTTCATCTTTATCTTGCAACTGAACTCAAACTTATTCTAAAGATTTTTTGGTAAATTCTTTGAAATCTCTATGTAGACAATCATGTCAAATGCAAACAGGAGCCTTTTATTCTGAGACCGCTTTTTTTTCTAATCTAAGCATTTAATAGTATAATTTTCCCTCCCTGCAATGCTTTCACTGTGTCCAGCATATTTTGATTTGCTACACTTTCACTATTGCTAGAGTCCATGCATTTAAAAAAATCCTTTGAAATGTTCTTTGACTTGACTTCATGGGTTATTACAAAGTGTGTAAATTTCCAAGTGCTTTAATATTTTTCTCTTGTCTTTATCAATTTTAGTTGGATTCTGTGATGGTCAGAGATCATACTCCATATGAATTCAATTCTTTTAAACTTATAGACATTTGTTTTATAGTTCAGAACATGACCTATCTTAGTCAATGTTTCATTGGTACTTAAAAAAAATGTGTTCTGTTTTTATTGAGTTCTATGCATGTCACTGAGAGCCTGTTGTTAATTTCATTGTATATTTCTTCTGTAGCCTTCCTGATTGTCAGTGTAGTAGTCAATACTGAGAGTGGAGTGTTGAAGTCCTCGCCTGTACTGGTGAATGTGACTATTTTGTTTTTCTGCTCTATTTATTTTTATCTCATATATTTTGAGACTGGTCTGTTTTTTTTTTTTTTTTGGTGTGCACACCAAATGAAATTTGGCCTCCAATGAAATTTTAATTTTGTTTAGTCATCTCTAGAAATTCTGACTGGTTCTTCAACAAATCTGGTAAGTCATTTTTTATAGTTTTTTTTTTTAAATGTAAGTGTAATTTTTATTATCTATATCTGACAATACCAATTTCAAGGCCTGTATAGGTTATTTTTGCATCTTTTTAATCTCTTCTAGTATTATGGTTTTGCTTCTTTTATTTCTAGTTATTTTTGGATGCTTGCTGGTCAATGCCTCTGACAGTCATTTGTGGCTCCTCCAGACTCCTCCAGATCTGACGCAGTCATACCATCTTCCAGAATGGC